GTGCACGGGGCCAGACTGCATGTCCCCTTAGTCCCGATAGCCATCCTGAGCCCCTGGCTCAGGCTTTTTGATAGTTTCTCCCTTCTAACGTAGAAAAATTAGACCCTGACAGAACTGATCCTCAATGTTTAGATTCACCCAAATATTTCATGCTTACAGTGTGCAGTGGTTAAAGCAAGCTGCTAACCAAAAGGTCGGTCGTTAGAAACCCCCCAGCCGCTCTGCAGGAGAAAGATGAGGCAGTCTGTTTACGGAAAGATTTACAACCTTGGAAACCCTATGGGGCAGTTCTACTCTGCCCTGTAAGGTTGCTATGAGTCGAAATCCAGTCGATGGCAGTGGGTTACCGTATGTCAAACACTGTGCTTTGGGTTGTGAATTTGGCTTTGAATTCGAAAGCTTGAGGGGTTGAATGCAGAGGATCCTGTCGGAGTTCTCAGTGCAGGAATATGTAAAACCAACTCCCCGTAACAGGAATACTGAGATAGGGCACTTCAGGGAGGCTGCGTGATGAATCGAGGTAACAGAGACCTTCAAGCTTTCCAACAATTTTATTTTATCAAAAACGCCCTCCCATCCCATTTTTAAGACACCGTTTTATTCTTGTCCAGTTCTTCCCCCGCCCCCCACCTCCCCAACTCTTATGCCTACCCAAAGAGCTCTTGGACCTCTCGCGAGGCTGTTTATACCCCTCCCTCCCTCAAAAACGTTTCCATCCAAAATTCAGTCTGTCTTAATACTCTTGGGACATTTCCTGTGGAGGGTGCGAGGGCGATACTAGGCAAAATAATTCCTTGGCCTTTGCTCTCAAGGGAGTCAAAGAAGAGGGACTCTCCTGGATGTGGACTGGGACCTTTGTGTATTCAGTGGGAAAATAAAGGCCCTGAGGAGAGAAATTTCCTCAGAGAAAGTGGAGACTGGTGGAGGAGAGGAGTAGAACCAAAAAGCTTATTGGCCAGCTCAGGATTCTTCATCCATGACATCTAGAATGTTGCTCAGAAGAATTTTGAAAGTGGGACGTTCATCTGCTTTCTAAAACCAACGAAAAAGTAGAGTGTTACAGTGAACTAGAGCCCAGAATTCAAGGAAATGTAATGATCAAGCACTAAATATTCATTAAGTACATAGTGCATGTCTAGTGGGGAGCTCTGGTGGTGTAGTGCCTCAGGCATTTGACTGCTAACTAGAAGGCTGGCGGTTCAAACCCACCAGCCACTCCTCAGAAGGAAGGTTGGGCAATCTATTTCCCAAGGAGGGGTCACTATGAGTCGGACCTCACTCGATGTTAGTGTGTTTGGTTTGGTATGGTTTGTGGTACATGTCTAGTAAAGAAGCTCTCCTGGCACATTGCCTAAGGCATTTGATTGCTAATCAGAAGGTTGGCAGTTCAACCCACAAGCCCCTCCACAGAAGGAAGATGAGGCAGTCTACTTCTATAAAGACTTATTGCCTTGGAAACTCAATAGGAGTTGTTATGAGTTAGAATCCACTCAGTGGCAGTGGGTATATGTCTAGTAGCACACCCTGTCAATTACAAAAAAGAAAAGAAATGCAGGTTCTACATAAAGTCCTTCTGAATATTCCATTGTTAATAAGTAAAATTACAAGTAGTGATAAGAACAATTTTCAAATTATACTGACAAACATTGA